TATAGCTGGAGACTTCAACACTCTTCTCAACAATTGATAGAACCATTAAACAAAATCAGCAAGGATCTAGAAGAACTCAACATCACCATCAACCAGCTGGATCGAATACACATTTATAGAACATTCTACTCAACAACAGAACACATTCTTTACAAGCATCCACAAACTATCAAGATAGTCTTTATCCTAGGCCACAAAACAAATCTCAGTAAATTTAAAAGAATTGAAATCATTTTGTGTTCTGATGAAAAGACTTGAACTAAAAATCAGTAACAGAAAGATACAGGAAAATCTCCAAATACTTGGAAACTAAACAAGTAAGCACTTGTAAATAATTCATAAGTCAAAGGAAATTTTGAAAAATGCATTGAACTAAAAGAAAATACAACATATCAAAATTCAGGGATGCTGCTAAAGCAGCGATGAGGGGAAATGGATAACATTTAAATGCTTACATTAGAAAGAAAAGGAGAGAGGATGCAAATTACTAATATCAGGAATGAAACAGTGTGTTATTGCAGACTGCAGACATCAAAAAGATAAGGAAATACTACAAACAACTCTACATTGATGAATTTGATAACTTAGGTAAAATGCACTGATTCCTCAAAAGGCACAAACTACCATGACTCACCTAATATAGATGATTTAAATAGCCTTATAGGTATTAAGGAAATTGAATTAATAATTTTTAAACTCCCATAGAAGAAATCTCCAGGGCAAGCTTGTTTCACAGAATTCTGTAAAATGTTTTCAGAAGAATATCAATTTTACAGTCTCTTCCAGGAAATACAAGAGGAGAGAACACTTCTAACTCATGCATAGCTAGTATTAATTAGCCTGATGCTAAACCCACACAAAAACAGAACCAAAAAGAAAACTTTTAAGTCCTTTATGAATATAAATGCAAAAGATGCATAAATTCTTAACAAAATATTTGCAAATAGAATTCACTATATAAAAGCATGTAGGGATTATTCCAGGGATGCATGGCTGGTTCAGTATTCAAAAATTAATGTAACCCACCATATTAACAGACTGAAGAAGAAAAAAACCACAGGATTATATTAATTGATGCCGTAAAGCATTTGACAAATTGGAATACCCATTCATGTTCATGTTCCTAGAAAACTAGGTAGCTTCCTCAATGTAATAAAGAACATCTATAGGCCGGGCACGGTGGCTCACGCCTGTAATCCTAGCACTCTGGTAGGCTGAGGCAGGTGGATCGCTCAAGGTCAGGAGTTCGAGACCAGCCTGAGCAAGAGCGAGACCCCGTCTCTACTTAAAAAACAGAAAGAAATTATCTGGCCGACTAATAAAAAATATATGTATAGAAAAAATTAGCCGGACATGGTGGCGCATGCCTGTAGTTCCAGCTACTCAGGAGGCTGAGGCAGGAGGATCACTTGAGCCCAGGAGTTTGAGGTTGCTGTGAGCTATACTGATGCCACGGCACTCTAGCCAGGGCAACAGAGCCAGACTCTGTCTCAAAAAAAAAAAAAAAAGAACATCTATAGATACAGTAAAAATATGGTATAATCTTAAAAAAGGAAGAAAGGAAAGGAAGGAAGGAAAGAAAAAGGAAAACAGAACATCCACAGAAAATCTCCACCTGACATCATTCTTTATGGTGAAAAACTGAATGTGTTTCCCTTTAGGTCATGAACACAGCAAGCATGTCAGCTCTCACCACTGCTCTTCAACATAGCACTGGACTTTCTAGCCACTGCAATAAATAAAGAAAATAAAAATACAAGGAATATAAATCAGAAAAGAAGAAATATTTGTAGATGACATAATTGTCTGCATAGAAATTTCTGGGAAACCACATGCACAAAAAAATCCTTGAACTAGGAATAAGTGAGTTGAGGAAGGTTGTAGGATACATGATCAACATATAAAAATCAATTGTATTTTTATATACTAGCAATGAACACATAGGAAATGAAGTTTCAAATACCGTACCATTTATCATCACTCAGAAAAATGAAATTCTTAAGTGTAAATCTAGCAAAACCATGTACAGGACTTGGTATGTTCACAACTAAAAATGCCAATGAAAGAAAGCAAAGATCTAAATAAATGAGAGATGTACCAGGTTTATGGATCAGAAGACTCAGAAAATGTCAGTTACTATCCAAATTGATGTCAGTTACTGACTCACAGTTTTCAGCACAATTGCTGACAAAATTCCAGTAAGATATTTTGTAGACTGTAGATAAGATGATTGTAAAATATGTATAGAAAGGCAAAAAAAAAAAAAAAGAATAATTAAACAATTTTTAAAAGAACAATGAAGTGGGAGCCATCACTACCCAATTTCAAGACATCATACAGTCACGGCAATCAAAATGGTGTGGGATTGGTGGAACAGAATAGGGAACCAGAAGTAGGGCCACACAAGTATGGCCAACTGATTTTTGACAAAGGTGCAATTAAATGGTGAAAGGATCATCTTTTCAAGAAATGGTGCTAGAGCAATTTAATATCCATAAGCAAAGACAACCTCAACCTAAACCTCATACCTTATACAAAAGTCTCCTCAAAATGGGTCATAGATTTAAATGTAAAACTTAGAAAATAATATAGGAGAAATCTTCAGGACCTACGATTTGGTGAAGGAAAAAAAAATCAATAAACTGAACTTTCTTAAAATTAAAAACTTGTCACAAAACACCCTGTTAAGATGCTGGGAAAACAAACTATAGGCTAGGAGAAAATACCTGCAAATCACATATCTGACAAAATACTCATCTAGAGTATATAAAAAACTCTGAAAACTCAATAGTAAAATACAAACAGTCCAGTTAGAAAATGGACAAAAGGAATAAGCAGACATTGAGCTGAAGAGGGTGTGTAGATGGTAACCTAAACATACACTAACCACGTGACCCAGCAGTTGCCCTCCCCCCCCCCCCCCCCCCCCCGCCCTGGGCGTTTATCCCTGAGAAATGAAAACTTAAGTTCACATAAAAACCCACGCTTGATTGTTTCTAGCAGTTTTATTTGTAATATTTCCAAACAGGAACTACTAAAATGTCCCTCAGTAGTATATAGATGGTTAAAAAACTGGTTCAGACGTACCATGGGGTACCACTAAGTGGCAACAAGGAATGAATTATTGATACATACAACACTTGGATGGACTTCAAGAACATAAGCCAACTTCAAAAGTCACATGTCGTATAAATTCCATTTATATAAAATTCTTGAAGTCACAAAATTATCAAGATGAAAAACCATTAGTGGTTGCCAGGAGCTAAGATGGAAGAAGGTATGAGTGGGTGAGCATGACCATAAAGGGGTAACATGAAGGACATGTTTGTGGTGATGGAATAGTTCTGTATCTTGCCTAGTTTCACAAAGCCACACGTGATAAAATGGCGTAGAACTATGTACACATAATGTGTCCATGTAAATGTCCTGATTTTGATATTGTGCTATAATTACGTAAGACGTAGTGATCAGGGGAATCACTGGATGAAGAGTACACAGGATCTTTACGTACTACTTTTGCAACATCTTATGGACCTATAACAATTTTGAAATAAAATGATTAAAAAAAAAAAACTTAAAGCCACAACCTTAATACAGCGTAATTTCAAACAAGCGATAGCTAAATGTTGCCTGTTTGAAGATCTTCAGGGATGCTGACATCAGTGTTTAACACTGCTGTGCGTTCAGGAAAAAGGGACGGTAAATTTACTGGAAGTTTGTGTTTACCTCAGTTACCACATTGACAAAAATAGCAAACTGCCCTGTTAAAAGACAAAGCTCCGCTGTTGAGCACCAGTTATCTCCGTGCTTCACCGAGACCACAGGCACTCCAGGTACATTCAAAAGGATGCAGGGAGCCAGGAAATCATGGCTGAATATCATACTCTTAGGGAGCACTTTTTCTATGTGACATTTTCCTCATGTATCTGTTGATGTTGTAGTTCCAGATTATAAATGCATAAGGAATAGGTATACACGTGTTTGAATGTAAATTCTAACTGAAGAAGTGTGGCCATCAACGTAGCAACTGTGTAAGTAGGTGCAAGCTTATAAAGCCTCTGACTGGCCGCACAGGTTGAACTTTGAAATAATGTCATTTTTGGTAATACCATTCTAATTTAGTTTGTAGATCAGGTATCACCAGGCTCATTTCTTGCAAATGTCTGTCCAGAATGGTTTCACTAATAGGTAACAATGTCATTCACATTTAGTAAGCACGTACTATGCGCAAGGCACTATTGTCAAGACTTTTACATTCATTCCCTCAAAACCCTTGCAGTTGCACTAGCCTTATCTCTTTTATAGTTGAGGAAACTGAGCCTGGAAGGATTGGGTGATTTGAGCCATTCATATGGCTGGAATTTGAGACTAAGACACTGACTTGAGAACCAGAGTTATTAACAGATATGTTCCGCTTTGTGTGTGTGTGTGTGTGTGTGCATGCGTGCATGTGTGCTTGCTTCACATTTCTGCCTCCAGGAGCAGCCTAATTGTTAAAGAACCCAAATCCCCTCCTTGCTACTTGCAGGCCTCCTTCAATACCAATGTCTGAGAATGTCTGTAATGTCCAGCATTTTCTGGTTCTGTTAGGTCTGCATTTAATTTAAACAGGCTGGACTTCTTTAGAAAATAGACATAGAGTTGTTATATATGGGATATAGATATAGATTGTTCCAACCAGCTGGAAATTTTTTTTTTTCTTATATCTTCATCTTTGTAAATGCCTTCAAGAAATCTGGAGGCCAAGAATGGTTTCTGTTATATCCAGAAATCAAGGGTAATAGTAGCAAAGCCAAAAGTCAAGGCTTGTTCTCTAGTAAATCATTTGGTTTGATTATTTTATGTCTTCATTTTGTTGTGGAGTAACTGGTAGCAAGCAAAGATGTTTGTTTTTTATGGATGTAAATAAATCCACCTTTGTAATTACATGTGTAACTTAGTATGTGCCATAAGGAGCTTTTATAAATTGATCTAATTTCTTATGTTCTCTTTCTTTATAGGAATATATTAAAGGAATCTGTGAACCTGAGCTAGAGGAAAGAGAATGTTACCCCAAGGCCATGCACTGCATTTTCGCTGGGGCAGAGAGCCTGTTTCTGAAGAGCTTGATTCAGGATACTTGTGCCGATCTCTGCATTCTGGATATCGGCCTGCTTGGCATCCGAGGAAGCGCAGAGGCTGTAGTCATGGCTAGGAGTCACATTCAACAGTTTGTGAAACTCTTTGAGAATAATGAGAACCTACCCAGCAGTCAGAAAGAATCAGAGGTGAAAAGGGAATTCAGACAATTTGTTGAAGCCCGTGCAGACAATTATACAATGGATTTGTTAATTTTGCCCACTTCGTTGAAAAAAGAACTTTTGACACTCACACAAGGTGAGGAGAATCTATTTGAAACAGGAGATGATGATGTTATTGAAATTAGAGATTCTAAACAAACAGAGTTTACGCAGGATGCTGCCACAGGGCTGAATATTTCCAAAGATGAAATTGTTTTGCAGGAAGATGAAAGAAGTAAAGCTGGGACTCCCGTTACTGAGCTTGCAAAGCAGATGGACACAGTCTTTTCTAGCTCACCAGATGTGCTTTTTGTTCCAATAAATGGTCTAACCCCAGATGAAGAAGCGCTTTCCAAAGAGAGAGTTTGTCACAAAAGGAGATCTTCTGATTCTGAAGAAAGACATACCAAGAAGCAGTTTTCTTTGGAAAATGTTCAAGAGGGGGAGCTTTTACATGAGGGTAAGACATCAGTCGGAAATGTAATCATTGACCTATCTGATTCTTCCACTGGTTCTGAAAATTTAAGTCCAGATGTAAAAGACACTACTGAGGAGATGGAATACAACATCCTCGTAAACTTTTTTAAAACCATGGGCTATTCCCAAGAAATTGTTCAAAAGGTTATTAGGGAGTATGGGCCATCTACCGAACCATTATTGCTCTTAGAGGAAATTGAAAAAGAAAATAAAAGGTTCCAAGAAGACAGAAAATTTTCACCTGGTACTATGTGTCCAGAGAACAACAAAACCAAAAATAAAGGTGTTTGTAACAGCATAAAGGAGTTCACAACAGATTCCACTCCAAAGAAAACACAGACTCACACACAGCAAAATATAGTAGAAAAATTTTCTCAGTTACCATTCAAAGTAGAAGCTAAACCATGTACCTCAAATTGCAAAATTAATACTTTCAGAACAGTGCTGACAGAGCAGAAACATGAAATCTGGGGTTCAAACCAGAACTATGTTTGTAATGTAGACCTTGAAACTGATGGCCTTTCACCTTCTGTTGCCCCATCGAGTCCCAAAGAAGTCAGTTTTGTTTCAAGGGGAGCTTCAAGTCACCAGCCCAGAAGTCCAGCTTTTCCTGAAAATGGTTTGCCGCATCAAGCAGAACCCTTGCTTCCAAATAATATGAAATCTACCTGTGAAAAACGTTCAGGATGTTGTAACTCTCCCCAGTCTAAGTCAAATTGTCCACCCCTTTCTCCACCAATGCCACTGCCCCAGCTACTACCTTTGGTTACCGATGCAAGGTGGACAGGACCTTCTGATCATTTCGATTCCTCAGTTACAGGGGTCCAAAGGTTTCGAGATACTCTAAAAGTACCCTACAAGCTGGAATTAAAAAATGAACCAGGGAGAACGGATTTGAAGCACATTGTTATAGATGGGAGCAATGTTGCAATTACGTAAGTCTACTCTGCAAATTATTTTATAGTTTTAAATAGGACCCCAAACAATGTCTCAGAATTACATATGTATGTAGGAACTAGCCTATGCATTTGTCTAGTTGATCTCTGCATCTTTACCAGGGGGGATTGTAGGGGCAACCAGCTGGTTGGAAAGGTTTTCATTCTGTCTTCTGGAGTTCTGAACTTCACTTCACCCTGCTGAACTTACATTTCTAAAGGCAAGAGATTATAGAAAATTTACCTTTTCACATTGCATTGCCTGGTGATACGCAGTATAGAGACTTTAAGTCATTAGGGTCTCAACACTATGAAACCATTAGATTCTGAATATAAGGATGGAGATTTGGGTTAAAAAAGAGATTTTCCTGTCGTACTATGCTGGAATGCCTGTTTTCTAGCCAGGAGTGTACAGTGGTGGTAGGTGGGATTCACTTCTGTTGATAGAGCAATCGCAATTTCCTTTGTAAGGAAATTGATGAGTTTGAACTTCGTTGTGGGCCTCTGCTCTTACTAAAAGTTTGTAATGTTTCCTTTTAGTAAAAGAGTTGAAACCATCATTTCTATTTAGCCTGACTTAGAACCCCTCTTAGCATTTTGATTTTATACCTGTCGTGTGAGATTGGGATTTTTTTCTAAGGGGCAGTTTAATGTCATGGCTGAGAAGAGTGTGAGGGTCGGTCTCCAGCCCACTGTGGACCAGCTGTTTGATTTGGAGTAGGTCACTCCCTTCTAAGTTTCAGTTGCCAAAGAATGATTTATGAACCAAGCAGGCGGTACCCTGAACCAGGAGAGGTTCAAAGCCCTACCCAGCAATGTGGGCAGGCAGTATTTATAGACAGAAAAAGGAAGTGACCCACAGAAACTACCTGATTGGTTGTGGTTCTAGATTTGCCTTCTTTGGGCGTGGTCTGATCATTTCTCAACCTGTGATTGGCTGAGACTCAGCTTTTGTTAGGTTGCAATTTGTTTACATACTAAGTTAGTTCGAAGTTCCCTATGTGTGAACTCAAGACAGCGAGGCAGCATTTGTAATTTTTTGTTTCCTGAGTATTTTTAATTAGAATTTCTGAATACACAACATAATGCCATGAATCCCCATGGGCTCATCACCCAGCTTCAACAGTTATCAACTCTTGACCAATTTTGTTTCAACCGTACCCTCGCCTACTGCCTTACATCCTTTTTTTTTTGTTTGGTTTTTTTTTTTTGAGACAGAGTCTCACTCTTTTTGCCCGAGCTAGAATGTCATGGCGTCAGCCTAGCTCACAGCAACCTCAAACTCCTGGGCTCAAGCAATCCTTCTGTCTCAGCCTCCCGAGTAGCTGGGACTACAGGCATGCGCCACCATGCCCGGGTAATTTTTTCTATATAGTTTTAGTTGTCCGATTAATTTCTTTCTATTTTTAGTAGAGATGGGGTCTCACTCTTGCTCAGGCTGGTCTCGAACTGCTGAGCTCAAACAATCTGCCCGCCTCGGCCTCCCAGAGAGCTAGGATTACAGGCGTGAACCACCGCGCCCGGCCACATCCTTATTATTTTGAAGGAAATCTCTATATGTTATTTCATCCACAAACATTTTAGTATGTATTTTCAGAAGTATAAGGATTCTTTTGCTTTTTATTGTTTGAGTGAATTACTGATGCTTTGTGTTGCTGTTAAAAAGGAAAAGAAAATGCTAGCATTTCAGATGTTAAAGTTTTGACGATAGGCAGTAAAAATACGTCATATGCTTGTCTTCATTTCCAAGTAACACTGTTGACTGTCATTTCACTTTGCTTTTTTGGCAGCCCTATTGGGGGAAACCCAGCAAATGACCCATAGCTGCATAGCATTATCTAAGTAAAAATGTAAAACCTAATTTCAGTCATCTGTAGATAGTCCAAGCCCAGCACTAGTTCCTCATTGTTATGATTTCTCGAGCCAAATGATGGTAAAAAATTTAGGTCACGATTGTGAGTAATACTAATCCTTTTTCACTTTTCTGTATGTGGAAAGATTTCCCAAATTGGTGTTCAAAGAATAAGAAATGCAGATTAACATAGAATAAGTAGTGATAATGATACTTTAAAAGCCCTTTTGGAGGAGTAACTAGCATATTTCTCAGAGGGGTCACTGTCGGAATTCAGAGTGGTGCCATCTGTCCATGACAGGAAGTACTTTGTATGTCACCCCCACCCGTTGCCCACAGTCTTCCTCCGCAGAGGTTGTGACACCGCATATATTTCCTAACACCCTGGAGTACGGTACCACCTCTTCAAAACCACTGGTTAGTGCACTAAGGGAAATGTGCAAGCTGACTTTTGTTAACGTTTTTGAAAACTGATGATTTTGAGAGGATTTGCATTTTCTTCGAATTCACAGATGTCTCAGTTTAAAAGCAGCACTTTTACAAAAGGACGTGTTCCCCTGAGAAGACAGACTTATACTTAATTTGATGTAGAGTGATCCGAAAATATCAGTATTTGAACTTAACCCTTATTCTAGGGGAGAAACTGCTTAATGGGTATAGGGTTTTATTTTGGAGTGATGGAAATTTTTAAGTTGGGAACAAATCAGCCATTATTTTCCATTAGTTGCTTCAATATTAAGTGTGAATTAGATTAGACCAAATTCCATGAAGGAACTGCTTCGTGCCTATGCTATTCACTGAACTATCCCTAATAGCCATAGCCCCTGGCACACAGTAGGTACTCAATAAAGACTTGTTGATGAATAAATGAATTAAAGACTTAAAGACAATTTGGGATCTTTCTTTTCTTTTTTAAGAGAGGGAGTCTCACCGTGTTGCCCAGGCTGAACTCGAACTCCTGGCCTCAAGTGATCCTCCCATTTCAGCCTCCCGAGTAGCTGGAACTACAGGAAAGTGCCACTGTGGCCAGTTTAGGATTTTTTAAGTGGCTTTTTACCACCCATTTGTAACTTCATAGTTGCAATTCTTATGATCAATTTAGATTAAATTTTAACTGAGGCCATATTTTTAATTCAGCAAATATTTGTGATCTTAAAGCTGAAATACCTGTTATGTGTGTGTCAGGCACTGTACTTTATTTTTTAAAAACGTACTCTTCACACCTGTAGTGCAAGGAAAAAAATCATAATGTATATAGCATGAAATGGCTTAAAAATCTTGTCCAGGGTTATACAGATAATGAGATTTGGGCCCATAATGTCTCTCCCCAGACCCCCCACACACCCTGTCTTCTCCAACAGAAGTTGAGGTTGGAATTTTCAGGCCCTGGCATCACTGGATACTTAAGTCTTGAGTTGCATAAGCACTGGTGAGTAAACCTCACTCATTTGACCCAACTAGTTGGGGGAAGTAGTTAAAAGGAAATTTGGGTTCTTAAGCAATAGGATCCTTTTGTGTGAACCCCACCCAAAGTAGCCCAGGCCCACCCTTCCCTGTGTTTCTGCAAAGCCTTTGTTTATTTGTCTGTCTAGTATGATGTCTGCAGCTTATACACCCGTGAGAAATTCCGAAATACCCTACTTAATGCTGCCAATCATGTATATCTTTACTTGGTTTTTTCCCCTTGTCACCATAAATGAGTCAAATGATGAGTAAGTGGAAATTGTTTGCAGCGTATGGCTAGACAGCACAGTAGTGGCCAAATAACATTTGGGCTTTGTCAGTCTGAAACTAGCATAAGAGCACCTGACTTATCTTTATCTAGGTTGATAATTTTCCACGTAGATGAGATTTGCCCCTTCACTTGCTAGAACTATATATTTTAACCATTTTTATGCTGGTCTTTCTTTGTCAGGTTCCATGGCTGTTTTTATTAAGTGGAAGCTATAGAAGGAAACCACTTTTTCCTGGGTAACTGAGAAAGGGCTTTCCACTCTTTCTCCACACTGCCCTGTCTGATTCTATGACTGCCATGAGCTTTTATCAGCTGTGTGTCACCCATCTCTCCTCTGCTTTTGACACTTTTCCTTTTAGTTGATTGCCTGCTATAATATGGGAAACAACCTGATTATATAACTTGTTACCAGTTATATGGAAACAGGAGTTTAAATCTCTCTTAAGAGTGTGCACACCTGGCCTTCCAGGTCTAATAGCTGTTCATTCTGCATTTGGAGCTGGGAGCCCCAGAGCTTTGGCCTTCCCGTAAGTAGAGAGGTGTTGTTGTATGTAAGCTTGGTATATATACTTTGGATCAAAATAGACAGTTGAGGGCCGGCGCAGTGGCTCACGCCTGTAATCCTAGCTCTCTGGGAGGCCGAGGCGGGTGGATTGTTTGAGCTCAGGAGTTCGAAACCAGCCTGAGCAAGAGCGAGACCCCGTCTCTACTAAAAATAGAAAGAAATTAATTGGACAACTAAAAATACATAGAAAAACTAGCCGGGCATGGTGGCGCATGCCTGTAGTCCCAGCTACTCAGGAGGCTGAGGCAGGAGGATCGCTTGAGCCCAGGAGTTTGAGGTTGCTGTGAGCTAAGATGACACCATGGCACTCTAGCCCAGGCAACACAGTGAGACTCTGTCTCAAAAAAAAAAAAAAAATAGACAGTTGATCTGGGTTTACCTGTCAGTAAGCTGCTCTGGTTTGATTGCAAAGAGGCTAAGAGACAGTGATGATTAAATACATGTCTCCCTGGTTGGGGTGTTAGACCTGAAGTAGGAAGGGGCCCTAGTGGACCCTCTATTATTTTAAGGACAGTGATTTGGCTCCCCTTGATTTTTTTTTCTTCCTGTTTTATTTTCTGGGTGAATCTGCAGCTCTGGAGAGTTTTCAGAGTATCAAAAATGACATGATTTTATCACTGGGAATAACACTTTGGAACTTAGTTTAGAGCTAATGTTTCTAGAAGCTCCATTTATTCCTCCCTGAGCTTTTCCAGGTTTGCAGAGTTCATCTGTTTGCATTTCTTCTGCCCTTTTTGTTCAGTGACCCAGTGGAATGGAACTGGGCACTCTGCCTCTGTCCAGTTTGTTATGTTGCTATCAACAGGTGCATTAATGGAAAAGAGGAAAAGGTGATGGTCGACGAACTGTTGAAGAACTAAGGAGGCACTTTACAAACTTTTTCAGTGCATTTCTCTCAGCGGTTATCATTTTGAGGACTAAACATGCATATCCCTTGGTTTTTCTAAGAATCAGTAGGCTGGAGGACATTGGTAGTTTAAGATGGGAGTCTGCCAACCTCCTCATTTGCCGGCAAATTAATAAATTTCTCTTTCCTTCTCCCCTCCTCCAAAAAAACCCCCAAACAAAACAAGAATCAATAGGCATTTGTATTGTGACTTGTCATTTTTAGGGCTGTGGCTGACATTAACTTTAGGCCTGTCCTTGTGGTTAAGCAATTAGAGTAATAGATGATTTATTATTTTTTAAAGATTAAAAAGGGCCTCCTTGTAAAAACTACCACAGTCTTTTTTCTAGTAACAGATGTTATATTGTTGCTACATTCTTGCCATATTTGAGTGCTTTTAGGATAAATCACTCCTGAATTATTTCATCAAGAAAAGGTTTGTTTACTTGCATGTATGGCATTAGATGTTTGTGAGTGTCCAGCCCATTCCTGTGCTCAAGGAACGTAGGTGCACAGGTACCACTGTGGGGTAGTGGAAAGGGCCCTGGCCAGGACTGACGAAGCTTGAGTGTGGCCCAGCTCGTCCAGCCTCTGGCTGTGCACCCAGGGCAGGTTGCTCTGTCTCTAAGTGTCTCCTTTTGTCCCTCACAGGAATCTAAATCCATTCTGTCTTTGTGGTTCTGTGCACCCTACAAGATAGGAAGTCAGAGGAGAGGGAGGAGGCTGATAGAAGGCCTTTGTCTAGAGATAGCTTCATAGAAGAGAGACTGGAATTCAGTCCTGGGAGCATTTGAAGAAGGAGCAAGGGAAAGGTGCAAGAACATTGTCCACAAAGAAAGCAACAAAAGGAAAAGCTGAGAGACCAGGAGGGGCAAGATGGCGGGACCATCTGGTCAGAACTGAGTGTTGACAGATGGTAGTGGGAGGCTCACTTGGCCGGATCGTTTCTGACTAGTCGGATGAGGAGCCGACCTAGAGGCCAGGCAGGGGATCCGTGTAGGACAGCGCTGTTGAAGGCCCTGAGCAGAATCAAAGGCCTTGGGGCTGCTTTTAGAGGTTAGTGTTTGCAGGGTCGGTTGGAATTAGGAGAGCCTGAGTTTAACTTGGGGCACACGTGTCCCCGATGGCAGGACTCTCAAGGGAAATAAATATTCATGAAGCAGCTTTGATGTGTGGTACTAGACATGGCGAGAAGACAGGACTGAAGATGCAGAATTTACTGTCGCTCGAATATAGGTGATCATTGAAGCAGTGAAAATAGATTATGCTAATCTCATAAATTGTAGCATCACAGTTTGAGATTTTGATATTTTTTTCTTTCTAATACCCATGGGTAGACAAACAGATTACTACCTACGGAATTTTAAACTTAAAAAACGCTATTCTTTTTACCTCCACTTCTGGAGAATAAAATTTAAATATTTTTTCTTCCTTGCTTTTGAGATGTGCCACTGTGTCTTTGGGAGAGTGTGCATTTTTAATCCTCTGTTGCTTCTTGTTTACCTTTTTCCCCTGGTTTCTGCTGTCTTCAGCAAATCACTTTCCACAGCCCCCAGTCAGTTTCATTTGAGTCTTGCCCTCAACTTGCTTCCTATAAGGTGTGAACTGGGTAGATTTTGCCTTTCCGCAGAAGGATGGAGCCATCCTGAGGCAGGAGGCAGCTGCAGCCTGGGACATTGCCATGGTGATAACTATGTCGCATTTTTACCCCATTCCTCCGTCAGAGGAGTGAGCATCAGCACAGCTACTAAATTGTTTCTGCTTCAGCAACAAATTTCTTAATAAAATTCATAAAGGTACTTCAGAGGCCAATGACTAGGCAGGACTTAAAAATAGTATTTTTTCCCCCAATAGAATGGGCTCTTTTTAAAAGAAAAAATGTACAATAAACAAGTATTACCATCAAGTTCACAGCCTTCTCCCACAACAGCATACCCGATTACATCAACTAAACAAAATACAAGACAAATCATAAGATTCTGTCTTATATCTTCCACAAAGGGTGCTGTCTTAGCTTTGCAAAGCAGCAGATTATACAACTATATACCAAAAAAATGTAAAAAAAAAAAAAAGGGAGGCGGGATTTTGTTCTGTTGTTGTTGTCTATGGATTTTATCCTTTCATAGTAAACTTAATATGCTTTAAAGATGCTTTAAACTGAAATAAATTTTACTTATTTTCTTACAGCCATGGTCTGAAAAAGTTCTTTTCTTGTCGTGGAATTGCAATTGCAGTCGAATATTTTTGGAAGCTTGGCAACAGAAACATCACTGTGTTTGTCCCTCAGTGGAGAACAAGACGTGATCCTAATGTCACAGGTGAGACTAAATGAATTTTTTCAGATTTCTAATTAGATGTTTGATGAGTTGGCTTATAATCGCAACACATGGCTGATTAGAATAGAGCCATGTGCCATGGGCAGCAGCTTTAAAAACAAAACTGTAAATTCATTGCATCTGGTAAAACATCAATTGAAGAGAGTGGTATAGCATAAAGAATACTTGGAGGAAGGATAGTGGAAAGTTAATATAGTTGTTTGTATAGAAAGTTGTGTTTGAGTTCATTATGTATCACAAAAGTTTTCTTTTTACTTTCTAAAGAGTAAAATACGTCTTTCCAGTAGGCTGCGTCTCTGACTGCTTAGATAGTATTTTTGAGGTCACTTGATAAATTTGGCACCTTCAAATATGTCTTTTTAACAGTCTGTTTAATAGCTTAATATAAAGCATTTCTGTTACTGTAAAGTACTTCGTGGCTGACCGGCAGGCCACACATGAAAGTTTTGAACTTATTATGAGTTATGAAATGTTCCAGAGAAACTGCAGGTTTGTGGCTTAGGTCATGATTGGAAGACGGGTGAGAAGGCTGTGCCAGGCAGCTCCGAGTACCTAGAAATAAAAGGCAGGTCACAGGGAGGGAGGGTGAGTGCAAGACTTGCCCAATACATGAAACAGGAAGTGAAACTTAGTCACCAGCGAGGTGGAAATGGTCAGACCACACATTTCCCGAGTACTCCCGACCTCCCTCATTTTGAAGAGCATGTTCGTCCTCAGCAGCAGGTAGGTGAGGAATGAGGCAGATCCACTCGTTGTATAGTTACTTTTGCAATTGGCTACGTGAAAGAGTCTTGGAATCCTTGTGTACTGTGCGGTTCTAGGACAATGAGACACTCTATTTGGGCATTTCAGCTTGAGTCCATGGTGAGTGCCATTATGGGGGATGTAGGTGTGGGAATCTCAGGCCATGAGCATTTAGCTTCTTTTTGCCCATTACTGGTTTCTAAGATGGGGCATTGGCCCCCCCATTCTCCTCTGTCACCAGCCACCCCCATGAAAACCAATAAATATCTGTATAGACAACTAAGAGGAGTTAGACAGGAGGCCAACTGGAGGGAGATTTTCTTGGGATGGGGTGAAGCTGCTGGTCCCATAGCTCTTCCCTGTTCCCAGCCCCACCCTTTCTTGTGGACTCTTCTCATCACTCTCTTTGTTCTCTACTTCTTGTAATACGGCTCTGAGAAAGTTCTGAATGGTAGGATTCATTAAATATAGTTTATGGTTTACTTTTCTTAGGAAATGAGTTGAACCTTTTTAAGTTTAAAAAATATCTGAAGTCAGTTCATACATTGTGTTGGCCTTAGCATGGGTCTGCTTGATTTTTTTTTTCTCTTTCCCAATGAGTTAGTAAAACTGAGTCAGTAGAAAAAAGGTTTTTACTACTCTACAAGTGAAACACTTTCATTCATTTACACATCTGAGAAGATGGCCATTTTCTGAATGTGTATTCAACTTATTCCACAAACAGAACAGCACTTCCTAACCCAGCTCCAGGAGCTCGGAATATTGTCTTTAACTCCTGCCCGGATGGTCTTTGGAGAAAGAATTGCTTCTCATGATGACAGGTATGAAAGGCCCTTTTCCTTCCTAAGGTGTGAGTGGGGAGAGCAGCTGTCCTGCTGGACAGGTCCACACTCTTCCAGGACTCACTTGACTCAGGGGGTTGAGAATTTTAACATGTATTGTCATTAAGATGATGCTATATGGTTTTTGGAACATCACAAAAGAAGCTGTTAAGAGGTTTGATTTGGTTTTTCAGTAAAACATGGCTGAAAATCAACAAGAGCAGATACTTAGTTGTAGGCTTTTTTTGGTACATACTTAAAGTCATGTTTGTCTTAGCATGGCAGCCTCAAAAGTGGTTTTCACATAATGTCTGTCTCCTCCTCCTGTTCTACTTTTGGCCACTGACTTAGTTTGTCACTGTGGTGCCTGAGCCCTTAGTGTTTCCTCCACATAATGGAAGATGTCTCAGCTGACCCTAGTGTGACATAGGAGCAAGCTGCATTTCTTAAGTTGGTATGCCCAGAAAGTGCGTGCTAGTATACCCGGGTCACCAACATTTAGTATGCACCTTTTACATTTGTTTCTAAAAACTTCGCTGAGCAGTAACCAAGTCCAGTGCTCTAAGTTCAACGTGCAGAGCTGGGTTCTGGGGACGGATGGGTTCAGAAGTACCTCCTGCTCTACAGAAACTGTGGTCAAGAGAAGGCACACATGTAAGTAACAGAGGGGAGTTTTGCCTAAGAGAAGGTTCCAAACTTACCCTGTGGCATGAGGACCAGTTTTTAAAATGCTCCTTATGGTATGGAATTAGAAGCATGTCTTCCAGTACTTGGGGACCTAAGTGGTGGCTGCTTAGTGTTTGCTCTCCTATGTTTACCCCGTTTATTTTTATCTGGCTCATAGCACTTAGAGCCCCGTTGGTGTTTTCGCCTCAGTGTTCCACCTGAACACTCCCCACTGGAGATAGTGTCTAGCTTGCAACCCAAGCTAGTGGATGATAGTTGAATGGGTAAGAGATGAAAAGAGGGCCTTGGGGAAGGGGACTTGGGACCACAGCAGACACGCGTTCACCAAAAAGGCCTTCTCATTGACAGCCCCTCGCCCCGCACCAGGCTAGTGTGAGAGACCAGATCTGATGGGGGAGAATCGGCAGTGACAGGGAAGCTGAAAGAGGGTGGCATGTGGGGGCAGGGGCAGGGTAAGTACTGGGAGGCTGGTGGAAGGCGCTTCTCGCTCAGCTCGGTGACAGTGGGCAGGGACCCTGGAGGGCTCAGGTCCTAACACTGCAGCTTTGTTCTCACACCAGCAGGATTTGAACCGTGTACAAGTGTGCATACTAAGCCTTAGCTTGATTTATATGGCTCTGTGGGTTTTTGGAGGACACGAATGTGTGTCTAATTCATAGGACTTGAGCTCAGAAGCCTTACTGCCTATTTTTATTAACACTTCTGAGCAGACGTCACCACTTACAACTCGTGCAAGTTAGAAACAATTTGTAAAGTGTTCACTGATAAAGACAAAGAACTAAATCCTATTTACTGTTCAAGGTTTTCTAAGATCTTGGAAATGAATGAAGTTTGGTGGGGTTTTTTTTGTTTTGTTTTTTGACAGAGTCTCGCTCTGTCACCCAGGCTAGAGTGCCATGGCATCAGCCTAGCTCACAGCAACCTCAAACTCCTGGGCTCAGGGGATCCTCCTGCCTCAGCCTCCCGAGTAGCTGGGACTACAGGCATGTGCCACCATGCCCGGCTAATTTTTCCATTTTTAGTACAGACATCAGGCTGTTCTCAAACTCCTGAGCCTCGGCCTCCCAGAGGAGGCATGAGCCACCACACCCGGCCTGAAGTTTGTTTTTTTAATTCCCTTTAAGTACTCACTACTGCTAATAAAAGCATTTGTTTTACACCTTTAATTCCAGTGATTGTCTTAATTTATTGCTTCATTATGTTTGTCTACACTGCCTTAGACAAAAGCAGTCATCCTGACTTAAGGGACAAATGTCACATTATCCTCACAGATATCTTATTAAGAGGGTTCGAACATGAATAATCTCCACCAGTGAAATAGAATTCTTCTTTACTGTTTAATTCTTACCCTTTTTCATCACCCTTCACAACTTCCTTTTGAGTGAATCTTTAACTTAGGCTAAACAGAAAGACAGTTCTAGACATCTCTTCTTAAATCAGAGCAAAATATATGAAACTATGAATTTAAAAAAACAAAAAAGAAGAATGGCAAGGCTGATTTACCAAACAGCTAATCTTAGAACCAACATATCGTCTGTAGCTTAGCAACTAAAAACAGAATAGTGATGTCACAGCTTGCCAACTCTAATTCGTTCTCTGCTCTGGTCCTCACATATTCATATTACTACTATTGATAATGTGGCTTTTCTAGAAAAATATATAAATTATAGCTGAGATCATTTGGAAAAAGAATTAGGTTGTATGAAAAATAATTATTTATAATCACTAATAATTTCAGAGATTCGGGTGACAGGAGCTTGACTTTTCTGCTGCTTAGCCTTGGTTAAATTCTTCGGTGATTTTCCTTGAACAAGATATCCCTTTGTTTTCTTATAACACGGCTCCTCTAAGCCAGGGATGCTTGTTGCTAATTTTAAATTCTCTTATATTACCACAGGTTTCTACTACACCTAGCAGACAAAACTGGTGGCATAATTGTAACAAATGATAACTTCAGAGAATTTGTGACTGAGTCCGTTTCTTGGCGAGAAATTATTACAAAAAGGTAATGTGTTCTTCTTTGTCTTTGGGCAGAAAAGTTTTTGTTTGTTTCTGTTTGCATTCTGTTTGTTATGCACCCCAGCCCTGCAGAAGGCGATATAGGGGACCCCACTGTCCTATGGCTGTGCTGTCCTCACGGTCCACAGGGAGGTTGGCCCGGCTAGGTGATGGGGAGGCCCCAGCACAAAGCCGTAGAGCCAGCGAGTGATGAGTGTGGGCACGCTGTCTTCTGAGATGTCGGTGTTTGCTTGCATGACACAAGGGGGAAGTTCTGTGGCATGGAGCACACATGGCCTCCTAACTTCACCCTGCCTCGACGCCATGGAAGACTCTGGCAGGTCATGGGGCCCCCCTGTTTTCCTCCACTGTGAGGGTAGAGGTTGGACGTCATGTCACCTGAGATTCCAGCTCTGAAATACTTTGATTCCACCAAGGGGATAGGACCAAAAGCAGTGTGCTGATTGGATTTCACTTCTTGGGGGTCAGGAGAGATTATTTCTACTTTTTAATGTCTGATGCTTTTCTTGAGCTTTTTATAGTCATAGTTTAATCATCTGTATTGAAAACATGTTTATATATTACCCAGAATAACAAAATTAAGCCAAGAGTTTAGCATTCACTGCTGTTTTTATTTTTGATGACACTGTGAATGTGTACATCTGCTGAAAACTGCCTTAAGATCAGTGAACACTGCCTTCTGGGACTTTTTGTTAACAAGCATCACCTGACCAGTTGTTTAAACCAAAAAGCAAGAGTATGTGGTAGTACCAGGGATAAGTCACATACGCCACAAATCTTAAAACATGAAATAACATACCTCAAACTAAGTATAACTGGCATATGATGTCACTAGTAATGTAACTAGCATAACTAGATATTTATCTCTGTTGGGGTCTCACAGTTTCACCTTGTCTGGTCTTCACATTTTGCTAAATCGTTAGAGGATTTTAGAAAAAGATTCTTTTCCATAAAAGCCCAGGTGAGACTCAATTCCTATATGCACTTTGACCCATATTCTGTTAAAAAGCTGCTGTTCATAGCTGAACCAAGAATTGGCCTTTGACCTTCTGGGCACAGTTAATCAACGGTTAATCTCCTAGGGCATGTTTCTCTTGAATCTTTGCTCTGGGCTCATTGTCACTATTTATGGGACACTCAACTGTGCATGCTTGGAGGATTCAAATGCATGAGAATATGAAATTCATATTTTCAAACCAACCCGTTGTTTTCAGAATTGCACAAAAGCAAGGCAGTAGCAAGACCTGGGCAACAAGCACAGGCACTTGGGACTTTTTTTTTTCCCATTTTCCCCAGATTTGATGAATAATACTCTACTTTTCTTTCTTCATATATCGTTTTCCTTTTTTAAAAGGTTGTTTTCAGTGGGTTTGCCTGTGGGCACACTTATTACCAGTTTTATTCAAAAATTAAACCTTCATTGAGTACCTTTTGGGTCCTAAGCTGACAGTCTTTAAATCTTGTTTTTCGAAGTTGTATTGAAAGTTATAGTAGGAGAAGAAGCTGCTTTCCCAGCTGGAATAGAAATCTGAAAGTCTTTGAGAAATTTGAGGGCCAACTGTGATAAAGTTTCTTAGTCTATTGTATTTGTGTCCAAAACAGAAATTTAAGTGGTTTAACTGGGGTGATTTTTATTTTTTTGCTTCCCCTTTGGACAGTTAAGCAGTCTTAGAATTTATAGGCTGACCAGACTATTGCTTTGGAATTGGGTAGCTGCTTTGAGAGACTTCTCAGCCTGCAGCAATGAAGACTAGTGTTCCCCAGCACTGTAATTATTCTCTGTGTTGTAGATTGCTTCAGTATACATTCGTGGGGGACATATTTATGGTTCCTGATGATCCTCTGGGAAGAAGTGGACCTCGATTAGAAGAATTTCTTCGAAAGGAAGACTTTCTCAGGTATTTCTGTTTTCAGACTGTCTTGTAGTTAAAAATTCATTTCAGATCAGGTGAGGTGGCTCATTCCTGTGTTCCCAGCACTTTGGGAGGCTGAGGTAGGGGAGGTCATCACTCGAGGCCAGTAGTTTGAGACCATCCAGGGCAACATAGTGAAACCTCGTCTCTACAAAAAATAGAAAATTAGC